AATGTCCTCTTGATTTAGTTTTATAAACCTAAGTTAAATTATACTGGGTAATCTTCACAAGTATTTCAGTCGCTATTAATTAACGAGTAAAAGTTTCAATGATATTTCTTTGTACTACAGTTATAATAAAAGTGATGTCTACAATGTCTTTTTGATTTAGTTTTATAAACCTAAGTTAAATTATACTGGGTAATCTTCACAAGTATTTCAGTCGCTATTAATTAACGAGTAAAAGTTTCAATGATATTTTGTACTACAGTTATATTAAAAGTGATGTCTACAATGTCTTTTTGATTTATTTTTATAAACCTAAGTTAAATTATACTGGGTAATCTTCACAAGTATTTCAGTCGTTATTAATTAACGAGTAAAAGTTTCAATGATATTTTGTACTACAGTTATATTAAAAGTGATGTCTACAATGTCACCAATGAGAGTTCGTGTTTACTCCTTCATCTAGGTGAATCTGGACTCCACAACGAGAAACACGATTTTCAATAATCTTTCAAATCCTGACCACCACTTATTTGATCAAGCCCAGAAGCGAATTCAGGGATTAATGGAAAGGGATACATATCTCCGCTTTCTCCAGTCGGAGCTGTACCTGGAGCTTCTGTAGCAAAATAGTTCCACATGAGATAACTTATGAACACTTTTTTATAACTGTGAATTTGGTAAAAATTCAAAAGGTTCGTGTGGACAAAGAGCCAAGGAAAGTAAAAACTCACGAAAGAAAATATCCTAAAGACTGATAAAACCCGAAAATGTGACTATACATACTTCCATGGTTCTTTGGAATGCACTCTTTAATATCTTATGGGAAACATATAGCATGATGGTCAATGTTGCTGGACGTTACCAACCAATTCTAACAACAAGAAATTTGCGAACAAGCCAGATATAGAAAAAAACGTTTAGTGATAGTTGATTAAACTCATTGCCAAACAGACATTCGAATAAACACTTCGCGAGAAGAAGAAAATAGAAACGAAGAAACAACAGGTAAACTGTGGGAAAGTTTTGTATATATTGCGCCATCTAGTGATGATCTTCAAGCAAGATAATAAACTATTGGAGGTTGTTTTTTTTAGTGTGATTAAGCTAGTGTTGACTATAAATGAATACTGGATACTAAGACTTTAAACGACACATCAATGTTGATCTGCTTGACTGTTTGCCTACGATTGTTTACGTTTTGTTGTCATTCTAAGATTAACAACGATATACAAGGAATCCGAGTATCGTTTATTGTGAATTGTGAAGTTTCGTGTCCTCGCTAAAATGTGCAACTTCAGAAATTCGTAGGTTGTTTATTTTCTTCATTAAAGTTATGCATATTAACGTAGAAGCGAAAATTCGCAATTATTTTACAAGCCAGTCCGTTTAACAATTATGAATAATTAATTATGACAGTATAGCTGCACATTATTCAAATGATGAGGAAATGACTATACTCAACTTTGCAAAATAGTGTATTAATCTATCGTACTTCAAAGTTTTTCGTAAATGTTGCTTTGTTGTAATCAGCCTAGAATAAAGGTATTTAGTAATGACCTAAGATTAATCACTAGATGGCGCCAGCTTATATACGGCTGGCCAGGAAGGCAAACATCGTAAACATTCTACATTTACTCTATCAAACGCTTGCAGCTAAAACTATATAAACTCTTTAATTTGATGTAAGAAATCTGAAATACTATAATAATCTAGAGGGAGCTATAAAAACGTTTATTGGTCAATTAGCTAGTTATTAATGAAGATGATTCACAGTTTGTAAACAAAATTTGGAAATTCTTATATTAACTCTTAATTCGTTTCTTGTAGTCACGATTATTAATTTTATTTGAAATGGAAAACAGTTTTGAAAAAAATTCAGGTCGCTATCACACTACTTGTTTTCTCTCGTCTACATGTTGAGCGTATCTTGTTATTTTTCAATATTCTTACAATTAGTGATTACATCCCGGATCTTAATAAGATTATGGAAAACACTAACAGTACATGAAGATGAACAAGTCAGTATGTCATAATTATTAGTTCTCAGACTTAGACTTTTGCATAATTAAAGTTAAAATCATTTTTACCCTTGACGTGTTTAGATGTTTTGAACTAAGTAAACATTTTTCAGGCGTTCAGCTTTTTTGTATGTGCTGTTGTTCTTCAGGTGACATAACAAGCTATACTAAAGATTAGAGTGGAGAATATAACAATAGTAATCCGCTCAATTTGGAAAGCGATAAATCTTATTCTGTGAAACCGAACGCGTGTTTTGCTTCTTCAAATAAGTAAATTCATATGTAGATAATTTGTAAGAGTGAAAAATACTTTAAATAGGAAAAGAGCTATAAAGACAAATACAGAAACCAAGTACCAGAAGCTATTGCTAACTACCTAATTAACAAAGCTTGTGCATATCCTTGAGTTAATATAAACACATAGAGCCGTGTTTGCGATTTTCGCTAAAGCGTTTATTTCATTCTATTATTCAAGATTTTACAAAATAAAATCTCGAATTTCCAACATATGAACTTAAAAGACTTGTCAAAAACACGGAACAGTTTATAAAAACGATCTTAAAATCACTAGCCGCTTATTAATCCATCTCGCATGGTAACAGTCAACCAACATATCTCGGTGAAATGTAGCCAAACTTACTCAATTTATTTGTTGAAAGATCAGTGTGACTGTGAGTATAGGATTGTCGGTGATGAATTCTACACTGACAAACTTGTGTAAGTATGATGACGTGATTACGAAATTCACGTACGTGTTACGACTTAAATCAATCGTTTCACTGTTTTCTAAGAAACTTTTTTGGAACTTTTACGGTATATGCTGTCGTTCGTTTAATTGATATATATATATTACATAAAACAAACGGCTAAGACCTCTATATTCTTAATAAAATTACGAGCTATGTTTGCATGTAAGGTTATTCGTAAAAGGTCACACTATTTCTAGTTTTCACGAAATGGTTGCTCTATAGTTCTATGAGATCGTCAAACCTCTTAAAACCTGCTCTTCCCATGATGTTTTGATGATAAAAGTTTCAACGAAATACAAATTTTAGATCATACATAAGAATGAATTTTAAATTTCCTGTATAATTCTGAAAAACGAGATATTGATGTAAAAAGTTATTCTATGTATATTGATACTAACACATTAACTTATATTAATTGAAAATTTTGCTGTTGATTACAATTTCACTCCTTTTTCAACTTTCTTAAGATTCGTTAATTATCATTCTTAATTGTTTCGTTGTAACTGAGCTCAACATATTTTATAGATTATTTAGTGGAAATTGTACGTGATCCAAAGTTCAAGACTCGGTGTAATGTAAACTCAAAACTTCGTGTAAATATAATATTTAAATTTTATTTGTGTATTCATGTTACTTCCTAATAACTGTGTGAAAATGGGTGTGGAAATCTTATTCATGTGAGCGTTTTTATTTATTATGAACTATGAGTTTTGTGAGTGAACATTAATAAAGAAATTACAATTTTTAAGTTTACGAACGAGTATTTTTCTTGCCTTGTGACACATAGGTAATACAATAGTATTAAAAGTTCAAATACATTTGAGAGTTTCTCTTGGCCTGGACAAGCAGGTAAAGCAGTAGATGTTTTGCCTTCTGTTGAGGAACATTAACTTAATTTAATATTGTTGAAAGTATAGTGTGTTGTGTGTTATTTCTTGATCGAATACAGACACTTATATCGTATTGTTTAAAATACAAATACAATTGTCTGTTGTTGTTTTGTTTTTGTTTTTGCTCTGGGACAGAGAGTGAATACTGTATTGTTAAAAATACAAATACAATTGAATGTTTAATTTTTTATCGGAGACATACGGTTAGTGCAATATTGTTAAAAGCTTAACCGTTCCTAATTTTGAAATGATAGAACAGAGGGAAGGCAGCTAGACAATATACTGACAACTCATAAGCTACTCCAAATGATTAGTGGGATTTGACAGTCACTCTTATAAACGCACCGAGACCCAAAGGAAAGGAGTTCGATATATATATATATATATATGTAGTAACATAGCTCCAGATCCATAGCCCGATTGTTAAAAGTAAAAACACGATTAAGTATTTGTCATGCAATGTGTTTTTTGTTATGACAAAACTATTAAGCCAATCTGTCGCCGTTCCTTATTTTAAACAGCTATCCCCGTCCCACCAAAACATGCTCACCCTTTCAGCCGTGGGGACGTTATAATGTGACGGTCAATCCCACTATTCGTTGGTAAAAGAGTAGCCCAAGAGTTGGCGGTGGGTGGTGATGACTAGCTGCCTTCCCTCTAGTCTTACACTGCTAAATTAGGGACGGCTAGCCCAGGTAGCCCTCGTGTAGCTTTGCGCGAAATCCATAACAAACAATTAAACAGCTAACCAGAGAGAGAAAGAAACACACCAGCAGCTCTCACTGCCAGCTTTTGGGTTACTCTTTTACCAACAAATAGTGGGATTGACCGTCCCATTACTCTATAGCGCTCCCACGGCTGAAAGAGCGAACATGTTTAGAGCTGCTTTTCAATCCTGAGATGGGGCATACACTTAATACAATATTATTAAAAGTACAAAAGTAACATAAAAAATTTAGACGGTAGTTTATATTTCAATACTAATAAATACTATCTCTTTTCCGTATCTAGAATTATAAGTTCCCTCAAGGAAAAGAGTTGTTATATTTTTACAACAATAAAACATAAAAAACATTTTAAAATTATGACAGTTTTTTTAACAACATGACACAACTGATCAGTGAAATAAATAATTATTGAAATTAGGTTTATTAAATTTTGATAATCTTCCATAGTTTGGATATTACATGCTCATTCTAAAAGCTATAAATAAATTTTAGATCTATTTTAGATCTCATCTGACCATTTTATTCACAAAGTCCCACAATCACAAACAGGTTTATTTTGCGTTTATTTAGTCTGATACATACTTGATGTAAATATATAAAACTAATTTTTCACTATCTGAAGACTACAACAGAATTGATCCCATAAAAAAGCTAGACATTTCATCATGGGCACCTACAGAATGTTTTTCAGATTGGGGCGAGGGCAAAAGATGTATGTAGGAGATCAGCTTTTATAGTGTAAGTCAACAGGCTAAAAGAATACGTGTTATGTGTGCTTAAACACAACCATAAATTTACAATTTTAATAAAAAATTCTAGAAATATTTAGTGTAGCTGCGATGTTAAGTTTACATCATAAAACGTGCAATTTTTTGTGAAATGTAAGAGGAAGAAATGCTCCCTTCTGCCTCTTCCTGCGGGCGTCCATGCATTTCACACTTTTCTGTTTATGTATATTTAATGAATTATGCTTTTTTAAGAAAATAAAACCGCAACAGAAAATTCATCACGAAAAAGCTTAAAACCTTTAAACAACTTTTTAAAGTAATTTTTATAATTAGTTTATCCATTTTAGAAATATATATAAAACCAACAAAATCAGTCACAAAAACGAAAGTGTAAAACTTTGAACACTTCTCTCTAAAGTTTTTTTTAATGAAATATGTTTATGCTATGAAGATATGCAATACATGTTTGACATATAGCATTTAGGAGAGTATTCACTTCTCTTCTCCTAAAGAAGAAAGTTTCTCATATTATCATACTGTTTCTTCTTTTGTTTTTACGTGATGTACTCGACTTTATGAGTGGCGTCTAGAGAACAAAACAAATAAACAAAAAGAATGGCATAGATATGTCTCGCCACCTAGTGTTATGCAATGCTACTTTTTCATAAAAGTTAAAATGATAAATTAAAATGAATAAGTTAAACACTTTAAACAAGATTTTTAATAAAATCAACGAATGAAAATTTCCTGACATTTAACTGGTACATATGTATTTCCGGAATAATATTTTTCAGAGGGATGTTTTCCCTTTTTTTAAGTTACTTTTAAATATTCTTAGAACAAACTATATACACACAAAAAAAGCTTATATAATAAATAAAGTAAATAATCCTATTAAATATCATTCATCGTTTCGAATTTTGTCTCTCTCAAATCTCAAAGTACTGTCATACATGTTCGAATACTAATTCACCACTCCACTCTATATTCAAATACCTTAATTATGTCTTTCTCAAACCTCAAAGCGTTGTCCTAAATGTTTGAATACTAATTCCCCACTCCACTCTATATTCAAATATCTTAATTATGTCTTTCTCAAACCTCAAAGCGTTGTCCTAAATGTTTGAATACTAATTCACCAACTCAACTCTATATTCAAATACCTTAATTATGTCTTTTTCAAACCTCAAAGCGTTGTCTTACATCTGTGAACACTAATTCACCAACTCCACTTTATATTCAAATACTTTAGCCCCCCCCCCCCAATAGCACACCGGTATGTCTGCGGATTTACGACGTTAGAAGCCGGATTTCTATACCCGTGGTGGGCAGAGCACAGATAGCCCATTGTGTTGTTTTGTGCTTAACTTCAAACAAACAAATACTTTAATTCTATCTTTCTCAAAGCGTTGTCATAGATGTTTGAACACTAATTCTTCAACTTCACTCTATATTCAAAAACCTGTTCAAACAAGAAGAAATCCCAATAGCCGCGGCACTTGCAATTCTTTTAGTCAGGATTAGAGTAAATTAATCTTTAAGACATTTTTTTTTTTTTACTTATTAGCTATATTTCTATGCGCCAGCAATACCATACGTGAGGCGCGAGTATACCCAATTCGATTCTATTATTCATCAGGATTTCTACGCCCCTACCCTTAAATTGAAGTTATTTTAGGCAGGATTTGAGTAAATTAATCTATGAGACCTCGGGAATGACCAAATACATCAATCGAAAGGGTTTGATGTCCTTAGTCGAAAAAGGTAATTAGATCTCAATTCGGATGACAGAGCTATGGGCTAAAACTTTGAACTTAAAAAATCTAAAACAAACTCAGAGCCATTCTACAAGCCGCTATGCCGTGGCTAATAACTTAATTCAGATACTTGTTAGGCAATATTAGTAGCATGTTTGTACCATCTGCCCCGTCATAAGTTGTTCCAAAACTGTGCTAAAGCTATTTAAAGTCTCGGGCTGCTGAAGTTATTAAATAAATCTGAGCTTTATTTAATGAACCTCATTACCTAATTCAAGAGGCTTACCTATATAATGACGCTAAACTCCAAATATGTTTAAACGTGGAAGGGAACATTTCAAAATATATCCCGAAATGCGTTAAATTAACAATATTCTTCTATTCTTATTCCTTTGGCTTTAATCTGCCATGTTAAGAGTAGATGAGTTGTAGATGCAGTCTCATCCAGGCTTCGTGATGAAGTATATAGGCATGTTGTAGATACAGTCTCATCCAGGCTTCGTGATGAAGTATATAGGCATGTTGTAGATACAGTCTCATCCAGGCTTCGTGATGAAGT